AACCAAGGTCAGCCATGTGGGAGTCCAGCACCCTTAACCACCATGCCACCTGCCGGCCCATGGAAGGCTTTTTTTTTCTTTTAAGAGGTTTTTGCTATAGGGCACGTGCGCTCGCCAGTCAGACAGAGAGAGACAGAGAGATAGAAAACGAGACCCCCCCCCCAGGGGGGATGGCCATGCCGCAATCCCTTCTCCATTCTCCTCTCGGGATCTTGGGCACACAAGCTCACGTGCTCGGCGTGAGTTTAAGCCACCGGGTTCTGGTTGTGAACCGCGGTCAATTACATGCGAGTTCAGGGACCTAGCCAATACGCTAACTGCTGGTCCCTGGAAGCCTTCTTGATACAAATCTGTAAGGTCTGCCATCAGAGAGGGTCACCGGGAATGAAGGGAAAATAACTTGGGAAAAGGCTATGATTGTCCAGGCGTGGCCGGGTGCCAGCTGCCTCTGTCAGTGCTGGTGGCTGGAGGGAAGGAGTTAGGAGAGCTGGAGAACAGCATCTTCCAGAGAATTCCCTGTAGATATGACCCCGGTTACCTTACACACACACACACACACACACACACACACACACACACACACACTTCTATAGCTGCTGAACGGAAAATGGGTAGAAGGAGGAGAGGACAGGGTCAGGGAGGGGAGTTACAGGGCTATATAGCTCCTCCTATTTCTAAAGCTCTTAGAATAGCGCCGGGAAGTGCTTTGTTGCAAGGGTTCAAGTGCCGATGTCTGCGGCTCTGCTGGCGGTGCGGGCCGGCGGGAGGGGAGGGACTCACTTTCAGTCCCGCACTTCCTCCTTCGCATGACCCTGCTGGGTGTGAGATGAGAGAGACAGTAAGAGGGACAGTGAGAAGGAAAGTGAGAAATCACCCCCCGGGGGGATGGCCACTCTGCATGGACCTGCTGGCTGGCAAGGAGGACTTGGGAGGAGGCTGAACTGGGGACATCCTTGGGGAGGCCGAGGTCACACCAGGAGCGGAGCACGGGGCGGCAGCGGACTCGGCCTTGGGTGGGCGGGGCTCCCGCACCTGCGAGAGGCGTCCCTGTGGCCAGCATCCTATCCGCGCTCTTGCTTCCCACTGTACTCCTTCCAGTTCCCAGCGTTGGTCTTCACAACGCGTCTTTTTTTTTTTATTTTAATTTTTTTTCTCACCTTAAGGTTTTTGCCATTAGGGCGCCTGCGCTTGCTGGAGAAAGAGACAGGGGGACAGTGAGAAGGAAAGTGAGAAATCACCCGCGGGGGGATAGCCACTCTGCATTCCTTCTCCTCCACCCTCCTGGGATTCTGGACACGCACAGATGCGTGGCGTGATTCTCAAGCTTTCCTAACGTCGGTCCGCCACGTGAAGTCCAGTGCCAGCGCCTTAACCACCGCGCCACCTGCTGGTCCCTTACAACATCTTACAGTTTTTGAATCAAATTTTCCCGAAAGGGGAATTTTATTGATTACTTTATTCCCTTACAAATAGGTCAACTGTAATCAAATGAGGTGAACATTCACCTTGAGATTTTGTCTTCGTAATAGAAAAGACGAGGCTTAGACCTGGATCACGTGACCCTTTCTCCTCCTATCTCCCCCCAGCTCCCAATGCTCGCATCTCTAACAGCCAGCGTCTCTTAGATCTGCAGTTGGGCTCAGCACATTCAAGCCTCAGCACAATCTTCTTTGTCGTTTTTGCCTTTTTCAGGAAAACAGGCTTAGTCTGTCCACCATAGCCAATCTGCTTCCTGTCAGAACGCCGCTGTCCCTGAGCACACAGAGAATCCCTGTCCTTTTTGTCCTGTATCACTTTATGAGGGGCTTGCCACACTTCTTACAGAAGGTCCGGCAGGTTTCAGGGACGTTCACCATGCTTGCGGGCCTGCTAGCTCCACAGAAAGCAAAACATCTTGCAGTTTTAACGGGCTGTGAAGACTCGATCTCTGAGGCACCCCCACCCGAGGCCCTGGGGCAGCAGCGTCCGGAGTGTGGAGCGCGGGCGTGGGCTTGGGCGCGGGGCCAGGCGTCCCTACCGCCCTCTGGTGGCGGCCGTGAGCTAAAGCCTCCTCGCCCTGTGCGGCCCGCAGAGGAGTACCAGTGCTCCGGCGTCCTCGAGACCGACTTCGCCGAGCTCTGCACGCGGTCTGGCTACACCGACTTCCCCAAGGTTGTCACCCGGCCCCGCCCCCACCCGACCTTCGTCCCCTCCGCCTCTGCGTCAGAAAAACCCACCTCAGGTGAGTGACAGCGGGACCTCCTCGTCTATCTCCAGCCACCCATCCCATTGCGGGCGGAATAGCGGGGACGCTGGGCAGTGTGTGCTCAGAGTGGAAGGAGGGACTGGAGGGGGCGGGTGGGAATTTGGGGAGTCTCCCGTCTTCCTTTCCGGACCCAAGCAGAGGCAGCGCCCCCAAGCTAGCGCCTCCCTGGCTGAGTAGGCTTGGGATGTACTCCACTCCCTCCCGGGCACACATGGGCCGGCCTGGCGGCGTCCGCGCGGTGGCTTGTCCCTGTCTCCTCCCTCGTGTCCCCTGCCTTCTAGCCGCT